TAGCCAAAGCTCTCTGAAGCCACCCATCCCAATTTCAACCAGGCCTGACCCTGCTCAGCTTTCAAGATTAGGCAGGATCAGGCACTTCGGGCTATGCAGAAGCTTTACAGTTTATGTTAATAGAATTGCTTCTGGGGCAACACACTCACAGCATGATTCACTTCTATAGGGCTTCGACTACATGAACACTGGTTTTCTTATCTCATTGGTAGGTTTCTGTTCACCAAAGGCAGCACTATTATTAATTTGCCAGTTTCATTAGTAAGGTAACCCTAAGCCTTATTGACACTTTTTTATACAACAAAGAAGTAGCTTAGCCTCATCCTGCAAACGCGTCTTCCTCCAGAAAGGGTTTCAGTGCTAACTCGGTTTATTTCAGCACAGCCTGTTTCTGCATGTCAAGAAGCTGTGTCTGCAAAGTCAGCTTTGGCCAGTAGAGGGGGGTTTGCTCCCGTGCCAGCAATTGTTGTGCTTAGCATCAACCAGGGATGTCATCTTGTGAACTACAGGAAACTCCAGGGACTGTTGCTTCACCAGGCTCATCTCTTTGCTTTTAGACACATTTGTTTCTAAACTAACCATTTCCTGAAGGGAATTCTTTCTTTTGAAAATATATGTGATTGCTTTATGATCCCTGCTTTTCCATGTGAACGTAGTAATTCACGTCTGTTGAACTTCAGACACAAGGTATATTAGTCTATAGAAATGATGTATTATATGTTTACTGAACATCTGTTGGGTCCAGTATAAATGTAATAATACCAAAAGAGAGTATTCTTCCTGAAGAAAAAATCCTCCCTAATCATTTCCTTCTTTGTTAGATTGCTGCAATAAACTCACAGCTTGGACAATTGGCTACCTGCCTTCCACATGGCCTTGTGAATTGTTTGCATTTACCACAGGACCCAAGTGTGGTTCTTCCTGAGGTTTGATCAGCAGACTGGGGTCCCCACCCTCTTCCCAGCAGCCTGCATGCTGAAAATACTGTCTGCCATTAGGAAAGGTTCATGATGCTGCTGGACTATTCTCTAGCCCGGTTCAGCCCTCACGTTCTGCTTCTGGTAAAGCATCCAGGGATGCAAGCGTTTGTTCAAAAGCCCCACATTAATCTTTGCTGTATTCTCAGAAAAAGTGGTTGCGAACAGGCCTTGAGTTTTAAAGCCTGAAGGGCTTAACCAAAGTAATGCTGGCGAAGATGTACTGAGTGTGCTGGGGGCTAGCAAAAGGTACGACCTGAATTTAGTGTTTTGGTACCATTTCTTGTAGCAGCCAGTACTATTCCATTCCAATTGATCCAGCATGAGCTTCCTTCACAAAGGTCCAGCAGGCCATTTCTCAGTGTGAATATAGTTGAGTCTCAGTAGAGAAGTGTATTCAGTTGTGTGAAATGAATACAATGAAGAATTCATATGGATCACAGCTCGGATAAAGCCCCCCCCCCCCCATTTGTGCTTCGATATTTGCTTTTATGGTGCCTGCTCAGATCAGCATCTTGGAGAGCAGAATGAGGCTGACACTCTGTGACAGGAGTCCCTATTTTTTCAACATTGATGTCATATCTCAGGGTTGTCATTGCTTGTGGTGTGCGTCTGCCATTTCCCATAACTGACTCTGGTTCACCCCTGCGTCTGACTGTTCTTGTGGTACAAACGTACTTCTTTGACAATTTTCCAGTTGCTGCTTCACATCCCAATTGTTCGTTCCTTGTAGCGGCCTGCACCATTATGGTTTCGTCTACGGGGAATGCATGTGTGAGCCGCCCTGAGGCTTTGTTGCGATGGGGGCGGCATAAAAATGTTTTAAATAAATAAATAAAATAAAAATAAAGCATCCTAGTTAGGGTAAGGACTTCCATTCCAACCACCCTTCGTTACTTGACAACTTATTACATTATGAGTTTCACATAGAACACATTATAAATATGTACTAGCAAAAAGTTCCAAAAATGTTTAGAATTAAGGAATATGTAGAGCTCAATAAAAGTAAGAGGGTAAACTCAGCTAAACCAGAGTTTTGAACAAAGTAAAATGTTATTTCTTTTGACAGGATGCACAATGTGTATATAGGGGTTTTTTGTTTTGTTTTGTCTTGTTTTTGAAACAAGAAGGTGGTACAGAAATGAAGATACAAAATTAGATCCATATCAACTCCCCACTCCCCAAGTATAATAAGCCATCCAGTGCACATTTCACCAATGCCAGGAACAGTTGTGATGGGCCTTTTGGTCATTCTGTTGTTAGCCTGGGTTTCTTCCACAAGGGCCTGAGTAATAAATTACATGGCTAACAATGATTGTACCTCCTGCTAAGCTTCTAGAACAAGTCTTAATCAGGGACGAAAGAGAACCTGATACCTAGGGGAAACTAACATTAAAGGTCTTGTTTGAAAAAAGAGATAATATATGTAGGGAAAATAATTAAATGTAGACTTTGTAACAAAAATTAAGCAATGAACTGTGGTGGTGGTGAGCTCTTAGTAATATGCTTTGATTCTCAGCTTCCATAGGAGGAAAAAGCAGCTATGGCCAAATAAGAATGTAATGGATATTCATATGGGAAATTAATATGACCAGAAGCTGTGAAATAGAGGGACTGGATAACCACACAGAAAACTTAGGAATCTTGCATTCTGCACCCTTGGAAGACAATTTCAAGTTCTGTGAAACTTCATTTAAAAGCTTCAATTCTCAAGCACATTGATAGAGCTCACAAATATTTAGTTTGGCTCCTAATACTCAGTATACTTAGGAATAGTTAGTTCTGCACACTTGCTTTCTCATTTAAGTTTTGAGAAGAAAAGAATTTTACTTACAATTAGGGGCAGGGGAACTGCACCCCAGACTTAACATTTGGGAAGTGCCATTTACATGACTTGATTTACATTAACTGGTACAGCCATTGCTTTGCTACTAAAATGCCCCCACCAGTTAATCAGTGGGCCAGTTTCATGCACCTGTGAAAATCTTTCTTTCCAGTCTGTGTTCTTTCCTTCTGCAGGCAGGAGGAATGAGGTGGGGTGGCTGTTGAACAGGAAACAGCCCTGCTGCTGAGCATGTGTGATTGGTTGGGAAAAGACCAGAGGCACTGATGAATTTTGTCACCACACAGCTAAAGCCTTGCAGAGCTCCTGTGACCTACAGGACAGCCCACCAAAAATGACAAAAGGGACCCTGATTCCTTCTCTCTCACCTGAAGAGGCCAGAGCTAGAACAGACTGTATTTCTCCCTGTCAGTCCTCTTTTTAAAGTGGGTGGCATTCTGCTTAGTCTGACATAGGCTGGATGAAGGCTGGCCATAAGAGTAAGGTGGAAATTATGTGAAATTTCTGGCCAAGTGAGCCAAACCTTGCATGGGTATGAGAAGGTGGACCATAATAAGTGTTTTCCCATCTTGTATGGAGCATACACTGTGGTTCTAGTGATCAAATGAAGAGCCACAATCTTTGGAGACATGCTTTTCTTTCAAAACTGTGGCTGCCTCCCATTTTTTAAACCAGTGTAGCCCCCAGCCCTTTTAGCATCAGACTCCAGAAATGTCTATGGAACTCTCACCCTCATTTTCACCAGATGCAAGTGTTGGTATCCATCAACATGTCTGTTTCTCATATAGGATAAGCAAATGTCTTGGGCCAAAGAGTTAGCTAGGGACAATCACATTTTAAACCTTGAAAAAGCCGGAAGTTTACATTCATTTTTGAGCATGGTGAGAGATCAGGATATCCCTAGCCCACCTTGCATATGTTTGACCTGCAAACATTGAAGGTCACGCTTTGCACAGGAACTGTGTGCCTAATGGCCAGCACATAGCGCCATCTATACCTCCTCTTTGTGTGTGGCACAGATAGCACAGCTGAACCCTTCACGTGTTGGGCTTTCTGTACATACGCCCCTGTGCAAATGCAGCATTGCAGTGCAATACTGGTGTTGGGCTGGGAAGTTGGCGTGATCCCTACTGCATATAGAAATGAAAGTCTACATAGGCCTCAGTAATGAGGTATCTCACTTACACTCACGAACTTTTACCACCACCCCCTTAGGGCCAGGCAACAAAGAAAATGTGCATCTTCACACTAGATGACACCGAAAGTAATGCCACTTCCTGTAGCAGCCAGCTTATGTTTCCTGTTGTTTCATGATTTAGAACAGGAATTGGCAGGTGGCAGCATAGGGCTCAATTCAGATCGTTATCCCAAGGACCCCGCTGGACTTTCCTCTTGGCTTCTGTCTTGGCTCATGCAGAGAGGTCAGTTGCTAAGTTGCCTAAACAATGAAATCTTCCAATATTTGGACAGCAGTGTTTGTACAAACATTTTGCAAGATCTTAAATGAAAACTTGGACTCTGCTTTTATGTGCACCTGAATTTAGTGTATCATTCTGTAGCGCTTTCTGTCCAGTAATTAACACCTGCACACTCTGCTAAGTGCATTAGCCTCTCAGTCTAACTGCATTCCACCATTGTTAGTCCCTCATTGTATGTTAGCCATTAATACTACTTTTTTACAGCTGCTCTATATATTTATCTGCTATGTAGTCATAGAGCTTAGGCAGCAAAGATAGATGCTTTCATAGACCACACACCTCTCCTTTTGGTAACTTTAGTTCAGATTTGGAAATATTATGCTGTTTTCAAACAGGGTGCCAGAATCTGCCTTTCTAAAATATAACTTTTCACCATAAGGATGGAAGGGCATGAACACAGAGGTGAGACTTTAAATGTGATATCTGTAGATTTTTGCCTACTCAGTCTAGAATGTAGTACACTATTTACTGCATTATGTTTCAGCTAATAACAAAACCATGCAAAACTGTGTCGTGTGCATTGGAAGACAGAAGAACACGGCAAAAGGATATTGCTAGATTGCTCACTGACAATTGGCATCAAACAAATCTGTATTAATATAGCTATTGTTACCTATATCACATCAGTGGAATTCATTTTGTCTTACTAGAGGACCTGGAGAATGCAAGCTCCCACACAGGTATACCAGCTGCCCAAAGAGGTGAGTTTACTTGATTTAGCTATAAGCCAGAACAGTAAATGCTTTCCTGGGACTATTAGGGTACACTAGGGATGTAACTTTCGGTATTCAGGAAGTATGTACCATTTACCTTGGAATGCATGCTCTGATGTGGCTTATTGATATCCAGATGCATTCATTAAAGATATTTCATATGCCAAGGATAGTTAGATTTGGAAACAGCAGGAAAACCTAAGTTGTCTCTCTCTTCTTAAACAGAACTGGTGGTTTAATTTTTATCTTGCTTAAAGGTTATGTTGAATTTCTTAGGGTGGTGCTGGTTGTGTTTGTGGAGGATGGGAAGGGGAGGAAGTAGAGGTCACTTAACACATCCACAGTGCATGCTGGCATGGACTCCATGTGATTGCCCGAGGATGCTCGGTGACAGGGCAAAACCAACCCTTCAGTTTTGACTGTGAGGGTAGCTAATTTGAGTGGTGGGAGGAGTGCTTCAGCAGACCAAAGTGACTGGCAGACTATGTATTTTATCTGTACTACCATCTTGGCAGAGGCAGTTCTAAACCTTTAAACATTTCTTTGGGACTGAAGCTTGGGTTCATGGGTTTTGAGTGGCAAGGACACATCTTTTACAGGCCTTTGCCATTGCTGCATAAGAGTTTTAAGGAGCAGGAACGTCATTTCTATCATAAGTTTTTAAAAATACCTCTATGTTATCCTTAAGCAGGAGTGTGATCAGGTATGCTGCACTGCATCCTAGGAGTATTAAAACAATATGGGAGCATCTTCATTGGCACAGCCAGGTGCCAGGTGGGTTGGGTTTTGTTTTGAAATGCACCTGGGATTTTTTGCTGTGTGGGGGACAGAGCCGAGCGGCTCTGTCCCACTGGCCAGGCTGCAACAGTCGCTTTTTTGATGTCTCACTTGATTTCGCAAGAGCAGTTTTCCTGGATGCTTCGCATCATATACAGGGTCTCATACTGACCCAGCTCAGATCATTTCATGATGTATTTCTTACCCAAATCTGCAGCATCATTGAGCTGCTATAGGGGCACAACATTGGTCAGCAGAACTCAGGCCATCTCCCACAGGAACGTGTGGGCTGCTAGTGGCCTCATGCAGGCCAGGGTCACACACAGCGTCAGAGTTTAGGAATCGCTGCATCCTTCCTGGGGCACGCGCACACCTTGTTGCCATGAACTGCACGGTTACAATGGCCCTCCAAGGCACTGGAGCAGTGAGCGTGCTCTTCCCCATCACTGGCACCCTTGTCCACTCCCGTGGGCAATTTGCGTGGGACCCATCCAGTGACTCCTCTGGTACGAGTGTGTGTGTGGGGGGAACTCTCACAGCATCCTGCTGCCAGCGAGGTATCATGGTACAAATCTCCATCGGTGCTTCCCCGCAGAAGCCTTCTCAATGGTTCCACACATTGTGAACCTCAGAGATGCTGGCTAGAGTTCAGGGAGCCATCCGAATTGGCAGACGGCTTCTTTGAAAGCACCGCCAAGCTCCCTGCTGTCTCAGAATTGTGATGACCAGTACGCTTGAGAATTCTCTGATATTTAGATGAAGTTGATGGAATAAAATACGTACGGACCTTTCTGGTGATGAGCTTCCAGGTAGGCATGCTACTAAGCTATTTCTCTAACCAGCGTGGCAGAGCACTGTTAGAGCAGAGTTCCAGTTGTCTCTGAACACCAGAGGAAAGCCAATTACTCCTGGATACAGATAACCGGTTCATCAGAAGGAGCGCTACGATGAGCAAAGGGGCATCATCCATATTTTTTCTTTGTTTTTTTCTTTTGTGTTTCTGTCTGTGTTTCCAGCAGCGTCAGTTGATTACAGTTCCTTTGCAGACAGATGCAACAGCTGGATAGAATTCATTAAACTGAAAGCTCAGACCATAAGACGCGGATCAATTAAGACAAGTAGGCGGCCATTTCTACCACATTCTGATCATTGGAAGCATAGTTCTGATCTCTCCGTGGCAAAGGGTGGAGCTTCCTACCCAGTAGTGGCATTGCAAAATCAGTGTCCGAGTGTGAAAGCTGCAGACACGCAACGTCTGTTCTAAAAACATTAATGCCAGGCTGAATTTGGAGCGTGTTGCTCAGTGCTCCAGAAACTTAATTTGCCAGTCAATACATAGATGATAAATAGGCTTGTGAATTGTGCAACAAAAATGTATGCATACACAGTGTGGCAGAAAGTGTATGTCTGCATCATTGAAATTATTCATTACATGCAAGAATTGCCTGCATGGATTTGTGGGAGTAATCAGAAAGTGGTGTGTTTTTAATTTTTGTACAAGTGGTTCAATGGCTGCAGGTATGACTGTTTTGCTTTGGTTACTCAAGATGAAGATTTAGCTGGAAGCTGACAACAATGAAGAAATTATCCAAAATTTGAAAAATGCTGGACTGGAGAAACATGTCAACTTTCACACTCTTTCCTGTAGACTTTTGTTGTTTCCTCTAGCAGAAAAAAATTCTCAAATTATGTCACCTTTCCCAGCCACTCCCCCCTTCCCACTTCCTATGTCTTCACTTTATAACTGATCATTTGTATGTGCAGCTGCTGGCCTCAGTGTTTTCCTTTGCAGGAATGCTATTCTTCTTCCAATGCAAATCCCATCCGAGCTTTCTGTATCTTGTCTGCATGTGCTGCATGGTTATTTCTTTTCTATGGCTGAGCATCACAGGCAGCTGAATGTTGTCACCAAGCTATTTGGAAACCATGCAGAAAGGCTGTTCTGTTGGAGTTGCCAAAATGTATGTCCGTATCATGAGTAGTTATTTTTTTATCTTTCTTTCTTTCTTCCTGCCACGTGTAGCCATATCACTTGACAAGCCAAGTCCATTGACAGAAGGTCAATCCCGCAACCGTTCCAGTCCATCAGGTGCTAATTCTACTGTGTCAGTTGTTAAGATGACGCCACTTTCGTTTATCCCTGGGGCAAAAATAACGAAATACCTTGGAATAATCAACATGTTTTTTATACGAGAAACCACTTCTTTGCGCGAGGTAAGTTCTACACAGAGATTTGTAGGGTTGTCATCGGTAGCACAGCTGATTTTAGATTTTTGTATACTGTATACAACAGATAGGGAAAAAATCAGCACTTAACAGAAAATGAGAGGTTGAGGTTGATCTCATTTGAACAGGGACCATTCTGACATTTCTCAGCTCTTATTTGCATGCACAAAGGATGCAGTCCACAAAGGTGCTTTGTGTTCAGTAGCACCTTCACGTATCTGGTGCCTTCTAGAGTTGGTGGAGTGCAGTTCATGTCATGGCCAGCCAGCAGCTGTGTGGGTGTGCCTAAAGGCGTGTGTTTGAGCGGGAGTGTGGTGGTCTAGCCATGTCCACTGCTGCCAGTGCAGCTAGAGATGAAAGTCCCTTAATCACAGAAAACATTCAAGCAATAGGTGCTCGATACAGATGTAGCAGGTCATTTAATTAATATTTGTTTAGGAGCTCTGTAACCTGCTTTTCAGTCAGAATTCTCTAAGAGGGATACAAAGTGGGCTACGCCACATGAAATATGGCAGCTGAACAGGACAGGACAGGGCAGAAACAGTGCGAGCATCTTGAAAGACGCACTAATGCTAAAAGCGGTCAGCTGCCCATTTGGAAAGGGCTATCAGGGTCTCCTGTACGGAGGGGAGCAGTCGTCGGAGAAAGTTGGAGGCGCCACTGAAAGGCCTTACTCAGAAGTGGTCAGCCAGCCTGACAAGATAGAAGGACCACAAGGAGATCTGACACAACCACTCTTAAACAGAAGAAGAGCATATATGGAAGAAGACATTTTTCCAGTATCCTGCACCAGATCATAAGTGAACATCACCTTGAATTTTGTATGGAAGCCAAAAAACAACCAGTGAAAGCCATACCCACCAGGTGTTCTCCGTTCCTGTCATTGACAACAAAAATTACTCTAATCACCATGTTCTAAACCAGCTGCAGTTTTCAAATAGCCTGTCAAGATAAGGTATGGCTATAAGAAGAGAAGGGGTCGTCACCGACATTACACCAGCAGAAAGCTTAGTAGAATTGCTGTAGTCCAGTGACAGCGGCATAACAGCAGCGGCCACTGCGAGCATCAGCGCTGCCGAGGGCACTGCAGTCATAAGGAAGGCTGCGCCACATGGGGCAACGACTTGCTGAGTAGCTGCCCAGTGTCTTGCAGGTGGGTTTGATGCTTTCTGCAGGTGGCAGAGCTGCTTTGGACTGGTCAACCAATCAGTATGCCTTTTGTTCACACTTCCAGAAGATTGTGAAATTAAACGAAAAGTGTGTGGTATCTGATCAAGAGTTTCCAAGCACCAGTGGAAGTAACAAGACTGTACAAGCCCTGTCATTCTGTATCTTGTACTCTAGCATGCAATCCTGGATGCAGTTTAGTATTCAGACGAAGTACAGTTGGAGTCATTGAGGTGCATTTGACTCCACGATCTGATTAAGTAAGGGAGTATTTTTTACAAGAGAACAAGGAGCTTGTAAATTGAGTCATTATGGAAAGTTGAAGGTTGGTGTACTTTCTTCAGGTAGATCACCTTTGAAGGAGGTATTCTCAATTGAAGTCTAGGAAAACAAGTAGTTTTAAGTTATTTTATGCAAAATGTTATGAAAGTTATTGTATGAGGCTTGCAGGCCTCATCTGGTCTGTGGGGGGCGGGGGGTGCCTGTCTGGCGCCCCTCTCTGGCATAGAGACTGTCAGGGACTTCAGGGCAGAACCCCCTTGTCCTCTCCAGTCTGTCATCAGCACTGCCAAATGGGGCTCCCCCATGTACAGTCTGGCCCTGTGATGGGAAGGCAAGCACTGCACAGGGGAATGTTAGGGTCTTTGGGCACCGACTGGAGGTATCAAGGCAATTCCCTTACTTAGCAAACCTCCCCCTCCCCCCCCCAAAAAAACAGGCTTCACTGTGGCCAGAGGGTTAGTCCAAGCTGTGTCCTCTCCAGGGTGGAAAGGTATGGGTGGGCAAACATCGACCGACTCTGATAGCCACAGTCAATGATAGGTGTGGGGGGGTTGGCCACTCACCCTGTGGCTTCCCCAGTGGGGGAGGCATGTGGAAGGGCTAGGCTCAGGGTGGAAGAGCCCCGTCTTTCTCCTGATGCTTCAGACAGGGCAGGAGCAATCATGTCAGGAGCATGGCTGCTTCCTTAGGGTGCTGACGTTAGAGCCATATGCCTTCCGGCATCATCAAGCCCACAGCAGGCCAGTGGCGGGGGGTCATTTGCCCCCACAGCACCTCACATCACTCACCTTTCTCTGGTCTAGATTGTTCCGGGGCGGGGGGGGTGCACATCCTGAAATTGAGAAATGGTCGTCTCAGACCAGGGTGGGGAACACAGCACCTTCCAGTGTTGGACTCTTAACTCCCAGCAGCCCCAGCCAGCATGGTGAATAATCCAGGATCATGTGAGCTACAATCCAACAGTATCTGTATGCTGCAAGTTCCCTGCCACTGCCTCCTGTACTTAGCAAGCTGGACTAAGCAACTCTCCTTCCAGTAGCTTAGCCCAAGTGTTGATCCTGTATTTATGTTTCAAATTCTTTATTAACCCTGAACTGTCGTTGGTTTCTGCAAACAGATCTTAAGTTGCACAATTGTAAAACAGCAACCACAGCAAATGTTTATGAAAGCTAAGCAGGAATATCCTGTGGTCCATCTGTTAATGTAATCGGTTTGGATGCTCTTTGTGATTTTAATTGTTTGCAGTGCTGGTAAATCAGGCTCTTTCTGTTTGGAGATTGAATTAGTGGTACTTAAACTGTGCATAAGTCTCCAACCAATCTTTTAGAGGACCACTTGTGAGAGAAGAGAGGCTGCTCTTTTGAAACGAGTGCTTAGCTTTCACTCACTCAGAGGAATGGCAAACTGAAATCACGGAGTTCCTTGTGCAGGTGTGTGGTCACCTCTTGTTCCTTTTCCTCGCAGGAGGGTGGCGTGAGCGGCTTCCTGCATGCATTCGTTGCTGAAGTGTTCGCCATGGTCAGGGCTCATGTGGCAGCTCTTGGGGGAAATGCCGTTGTCTCCTATATCATGAAGCAGTGTGTGTTCATGGAGAACCCAAACAAAAACCAGGTAAATGCGCTTGCTGTGTATAAGCAGTCTAGGATGAGAGAAGTCTGCCACCATGAGCAACTCCTCTTGGCATCTCGGTGAGGGCTCCATTCTAACTAATTCCGGAAGCCAAGAACTGCATTCCTGGCTCAAAACAGTGATCCATAACACTTTGCAAGTTCCACAAGTAAGTGGGACAGGTTCCTGTTTCCAATGGATTTGCAGAAAATAGACATACAAATGAAAGCATAGGGAGTCCTTGTCGGGTCATCCATTCCCTCTTGCTTTGTCGGGCTCCAGTGGATGGGGGTGCCAGTTTTTATAGCCATCAGACATTTAAGGGCCACACCAATACTTTACCGAAGTTCCACTTGACTTTGACAGTGGGTCATACATTTCCCTTTGAGTAAAATACAAAAAACTAAAAAAGATGGTCCCTGTAGATCTAGAAGGCTATTTAAATATTTACTAGCATGGAGTGAAGAAGAAGAGGAAGAATTATCCCTGCCCATATTTATCCTTAGAAATTCCAAGAGCTAACAGTACTGCCCATAGAAAGACCACAGTATGTAAGCCTAACCTAAATTTGGTTTAATACTTTTGAAGTGTAGTACCAGTTCCTTGGGCTCTGATGTTTAAAAGCCACTGGGCTTTTACATTTAATCCCCAGCTGTTGCAGTTCTTCATAGTTTCTGGCATTCTTAACTGAGGAATACAGTTTGGGTCATCTTTTGCGTGTTTGAAGTCAAAAGAAATAGAAGGGGAAGATAGGATTGCTTTTTGCCAGCGGCCAAATACTGTGGCTTTGGAAAAATATGATTTCCTCGTGACCAAAGATTCCTAAAGGGTGGAAGAACCTTGAGGCCCTTGCAACAAACGAATGACTGCATTTATCATGCTAGGCTGGAGAGGCCTTTTCAATACTGTGTATAGCTTAGGGCATTAAGAGTCCAGAAAGGACACTGACTTCTTTAATCTTTAAACTAGGAAAGGAAACAAGGTAAAAGTGAGGAGGGATGTGTGGTAGTCGTCAATTACATAGACATTTCGGAAAGGAGTGGAAGATTTGTTCTCTCTGAGCCACTTTGCACAGGAGCCCTTAGCAGAGAACCCACGGCATCAGAAGCCCTCGAGTGAGGATAGTACCCGTTCTGGCAGCTTCTCCACCCATCTGCAGAGGACCCCTTCCCTGCCAGCAGTGCTGCAGCTACTCGGGCAGCACCAGGCTGCTTCTGGCATCAGGGAGAAGGAAGGAACTGACCAGACTCTGTATACAGGATGGGAATCTGTCAGTTGCATATCCATGACCCTAAAGGGAATTGCATGTCACAGATGCATAACTGGATGTCCCTTCTGTCGTTGCAGGCACAGTGCCTAATAAATGTAAGCGGAGATGCAGTAATCTTTATACGTGAATCTGACTTAGAAGGGGCACCGGGCCAGCAGGCCACCACTGGTTCTCAGCCCACGTGTACAAGAGACATTACAACATGAAGGCGTGGCTTGGCTTCCACTGGACATTTGAGCTCTCTTCAAACTGTTGGACGGCAAAGCCTTGATTTGTTTCTTAACTCAGCAGCACCCCATCTAGTAAGGGCAGCAACACCGCGAGGCTGTCAGTGTGTTGTCCATCTGGTTTTATAAGAGCCAAGGAACCATCTATAGAATCCACTTGCTACTCAAAGAACATCTGCCCATGGAAGGAATGGAAACGGGCAGCCACTCCCCAGAACTGGCTATTGGGACATTGCCTTGTGTTTTATGAAGCTAGGATAAAATCTAACTCAGATCCACAAGCAGATGTTGCTAATTCTCAGCAGGGAGGGAGGGTGTTCATAACGCAACTGGAATACAACTGAGACACCTTAATCTCTCATTTCATCATGGAAGAGCTGGTTTCCACACTATTGCCAAATATGTGACAAAAAGCAACATTTGCTTTTGGAATCAGTGAGACTGATGGGCGACGTGAACTGGATGACCTGGATGTAGGTGCATGTTAAAGTATTTTTATGTTGGTGAGCTCTTGAATATTTTTCTACTGTACACTTTTATTTTAAATTACTGGATACAATTATGGTAAAATAACTGGTTCAGATGCTGTCAACATTTGATGCTTTAGGAACAGTGGTGATGGAGATCTGCTGTCCAACGTTCCTTGAAATCCCAGCTGCCAATGAAGATAAAGTCAAGGCTTTGTATTGGGTAGAGTTCAAATTTAAAAAAAAAACCAACAGTATTACAGAGAGGCCGCCACCCACAAATGATGCTCAGTGTGGTACTAAGAAAGATGAGCATCGCTGTAGCAAGTAGTAATGAGTCATTTTCAGACCCTTGTGGAAGGATTTGATGGAAGATTTGAGTCTGCAGATCTGATAACATGCAGAAATCTAGAAAGCGTCATGTGTGTATGTGTGGTAGGGGAGAAGTATATATGCAACCAAAGATGTAGAAGTTTCAGCAGTGACACTCTCCTTTTCAGTTTGAAAATGGCTTCTCTCTCCTGCTGCCAAGCAGTTGCAGCAAAACTTTTACATCTACCGGGGTGCTCGTCTTCCTTGTCTTGAACATGTGGCTGCATAGGTTGGAGCACAGCCAAAACGTTTTGATATGGAACTTGAAGAAAATTCACAAACTTGAATGTAAATAGATGATGTTTTGTTGGGTGTAGGTACAGAAATTATATATTATTTGTCCAATTCAGAGATTCCAGTATAAATGAGAATGATGAAAATTACATTCCTATTTACATAATAAAAATTTCTTTATTAAAAGTCCACACTTTCTTATTTTGGAGGGGTGCAGAGGTAAGCATACAAAAGCTTTTTGGTGGCACTGATTTTTGCTTGGTTTCCTCTGTCCTTTTAAAATAGGGCAGTCCTTGAGAAACTTGATTTTTTAATTTGCAGAATGCAAGTACCGTATTTTTCGCTCTATAAGACATACTTTTTTCCCCCTCAAAAGTAAGGGGAAATGTCTGTGCGTCTTATAGAGCGAATGTGTGTGTGTGTGTGTGCCCAACGCCCGGGACGCTGCCGGCCGCCTGCACCACGTGGCACCACCTGGCCTGCACACGCTCAGTGCGCGCTGCTCCGCCCCCCCCCCCCCCCCGGCACAGGCGAGAGCTGTGCCGCTCAGGGGGAGCGGTACAGAGGAGGAGGATCCGCGGGCTTTAACCCGCCAGCCGCACGGAGAGATGGACTGCTCACCCCCACCTCCCGGGAAGACCTGCCGCCATGCCGCCCAGAAGACCACCGCTGGCACGCTGCCGGCCCGGCTGCACCACACCTGGCCAGCACACGCTTGGCGCGCCCTGCTCCGCCCCCCTCCTCTGGCGCAGGTGAGAGCTGTTAATCACAGGTCGGTGTGTGTTTTCAAATGGCAACCCGTCTTTTAATGAAGACCATGGGGAAGTGATGGGGAATGTGCCTGTGATTATCAGGAAGCTTTCCATGGGTCCCTCCTCTAAAAACTAGGTGCGTCTTACGGTTAGGTGCGTCTTATAGAGCGAAAAATACGGTAGTTGAGCTAGTAATCTGTTTTGTGCTTCATTCCGATAACCCAACTATTAGGAAAATAGCAGAGCTTGAGCAAAGCAGCGTGCTTGTTCTTGAGTCCATTTAGACCTACAGAAGGACTTTTGAATCTGTTTACAAATTATGCTATGCCTCCCATGTACATGGTATCTTGCAGAGGGTTAAACCAAACCCTGCAGCACCAGAAAGCCACCGCTGCAGTGAGACTTTCTTCTCTCCACGCTACCCAAAAATCTGCTCCAGCTGCTTTCATCTCCTGAGGAGGCCCCCTTCTTTGGCATTGTGATATTAAAGACATCACCTTCCTCAGTTTCAGTTGCCCCTGTTTTCAGGAAAGATGTCATTCCAGATTTTGTGGGGAGAAGTGTTTTCTGCCCAGTGCTAAAGAGAGGCATCCCCACACAGCAAGGGCAGCAGGAAAGAATTATCTTGGGGATATTGTGGATTACTGGGACATCAGAATTACTACTGAGCAGGGATTGTAATTGTCTAATTTGGACTGTTGTGGGATTTGGAGACCATTGCTGCTGTACTGAGAATCCTACAGGGCTTTACTGGTAGATTCTGGTCTACCTTTTGCCTACCAACCTACCTGGTCTACCCTGGAATAGAAGGCACAACTGGGTCACACAGCAGTGTGTGAGGATGAGGGGGCTGATGGATAGGAGGCAGAGCTTGGAAGCTTGCCAGTCACTTAGGACTGGCAGTCCAATCCCTTAACCATACTTGGGATTTGTGAGCCTGCATGTGCTTGTTCCATTATTCATACACCTCCTTTACCTAGAGAAACCTGCATGATCGTCAGGAAAGGAAGAGCTGGGAAACTTGCCTATGGCATCCCTGCTACTTGAGCACCAGAATGCATAAGCACACATCACGCATGCCTGCCATGTCCCCTCTGCAAATGGAGCTTTCTCCCCAACCCCATACCAGCTTTGAAGCACACGTTTCAGTTCTGATGGGCTTGAATCTTAAATTTCCTGGCCCAGAAATTGAAATTTTGCCAGCACGGACTTGTGTTTGCCACAAATGCAAAGTATTTCAGGTGGCTAATTATGCATCACCAAATAAGAACAACTGTATGGCCAGAAAAGGTGGTGTGGATTTGCATAAAATTTGCATGTGCTCATTCATATGTGAAGCTGCAAATTCAGAAATAGTGGCTGTCATTCAAACAAATACAGGTCAGTCCGCTCACTACGGGTCTGCTCAGTCTACCCAGGTGTAGCTGCTCATGGATGAATCCAAAGTTTGTACCTGCTCTCTTATTTATTTATACATGTATTTATAGGCCGCCTATAACTGCCGAGATCTTCCTAGGTGGTTAGGAAGCCTCTTGATCTTTCAACCACACTTAGGCAGGACGGCCTTCAAACAGAAGACAACTTGGGAATGCAGAAGGCTGCCGTTGACTGTGTGGCACCATTGGTACATCTGGCCTGGTACTGTTGCGGGAGCAGCTGTGTCTCTCCAGGATGTCAGGCCGGATCCTTGCCCAGCCCTACCTGGAGGAGCCTTCAATGTGCAAAGCACTTGCTCTGTTAAGCAGCTGCAGCATTTCCTATCTGAAGTTCTGTTTCTTAGGTTCTTCAGTTGGCCACCTTCCAACGCAAAACTGTCCCGGCAGCCCTTCAATTACAGGAGTGCCATTTCTAAAGGACACTTAGCCACCTTTTGAGCATCGCAGCCCCAAATATTGTTCTCTGGCTTTGACTAAATACCATGCCAGAGAATAACATTGCATTAATCTGCTTCCATCCTTCATCTACCTCCCTCCACGTTCCCTTCCCCTCCACGGACTTGCTCTTCTGGCTTCCTGTTTCAGTGGCACAGAGGAAGGAAGGTTCCTTCCACTTGCATCTATCATGCTAGGAAATTCAAGAGGTAGATGGGCAGATGGAAGCTCATTGGATAGGGCACTGAGAAACTAATTAGGACCTAATGAGTACAGCAAAGTCATAAGGTGGATAAAAGAGACAAGTGAAACCCACAACAACACGTTGCAAAACATCTGCAGAGGCATGCTTTCACTGAAGGCTTCATCTAGCTAGGACCAGGACTGCTTAGGCCCAGGCATGGGGTGGGGTGCAGGCTTAAAGGAGGGGTGAGGAGAAAAGAGATGCATTCCCCTGTCCTATGCCCATGGGGCCATAGCACGAGAAGGTTCAGAGTTGGGCCGGCCAAGCTTCAGGGTTTTGGGACCCTGGACAGGCTGTCCCAAGTGCTCCTGCCAGGGCCCCCCAAGGAGTTGCTGTGGCCTGTGCCAATGCCCCAATATACCAGGTGATGACCCTAACCCTGCACATTAGCGGGTGCAGGGGAAGTTTCACTGAGGAGTTTTGGGTATGCGGGGACCCTAAAGATGTTTTACTCTTCTACATACCCCCAAAGGATTGTTCTTTAATCCCAGCAAGACTTTCTAAAAGAAAATAAAAAAGAACATCAAAGAAAAAGATCAAAGACTCCAAGCAGTCTCCAAGTATAGTCAAATAATTTGTTGATTTTTTCAGCATCCATAATTATGAGTATAATTATTATATGCATCATAATTATGTACACACAAAACTGCATCTTATCTTGAAGAAGGCCCACCGTCTCCAATATTGGCTGCACTGGTGATGTGCCATGGAATGTTAATAAACACTTTGGATTCTCAAGGTGAAAGTGTCAAAAAGGTTGACAAGGAGGCAGGACCTCTGGTACCGGGCAGTCAGGGAAGCCAAAGTTTGACAAGCAGAATGGGAGAAGAAATGGATATTAAGCCCTGCCAGCTGAGAACTGAGAAGCAGGGAGCTGTAGAAAAGTTGGGTGGAAGAAACATTTAGGGGACATGAACAGATTGGTCATGGGCTCAGCCCGTGAACAGATTGGTCATGGGCTCAGCCCATGAACATCTGCCACAAAAAGCATGTGCCAGAACACCCTACGTAGAGGTTGCACTATTCGGATGTTTACCTATCACACAGGTGTGAGAGGCCCTGTGCCCCCACCAGGAGAAATATTGATGGTAGATTGAGAGGACCCACCCCAAAGGCAGCCAGGGAAGCTTAACCTTTTGGTATCTTTCCCAGCTCTGCAAAGGCAAGTTTCTTAGATTACCCCCAAGTGTCAGATTGGGAATACGGAGAGAAGTAATCAGTGCCCATTTTGCTAAATCTGTCATAGATTTCACTCTTTTGGATGATGGCAAGGCTTTCAAGGTTCAGCTTCTCTCAAGTTGCTTGTCCTGATTATCAGATGTCCAAAGGCAAGAAAGATGTGGGGAAAGGTAAGATTCTGGCGAGGCACCTATTTCTTAATGAAGGACTGGGGCAAAATCTCATAGTCCGTCCACTAAGATAAATAAGAGAAAGGGGCTTGATGAAGCAGGTATTATCTTCTTTTTTGCCTTAGTAGGTTTTTCCTAGTAAGAAAAAAAGATGGAGGAAGTGCTTGGAAAACACAGGAACATTCTAAATGGAATGTTGTCTGGATTTCCCCCATAAAATTTTGTGCATGGATGGCTACAGTTTCACCATAGACATGCCTCCTAGAAATACCCCATGTTGCCCTGTCCAATTTGCAGCATAATTAGTGCCTCTTCAAAAATTAACCAGGTACAATTCATTCTACTTTTTTGGCATCAGCTGATTCCTCCAAATCATGGCAAACTGCCACATTCTTCTACCTTAACAACTTTAACTGATGGTGTACAGATTTCATTAAATCTGTCCTATCCTATCCATGTTTTGTGTATTCTTGCATGCTTTATGTTCTGCAATCAGCTCAGTGCCAGAATTGAATATTTTGTGTAAGAGCTTCATTTATTTGCAAACAAATCATAGAATAGAAGAGTTGGAAGGGGCCAGAAGTCCATCGGGTCCAGTCCCCTGATGTTGCAGAACACTAAGTTACACCATTCCATTCATGTTTATTTGCAGTTGTTCATTAACGTGCACTAATGTTGCTGTGCACTTCTGCTAGTGTGCATTTGCAAAGGAATGTTAAGTGTGCAAATTCCCCCAGTAGGAACAAATGGTTCCCAATTCCTTGGAATCTGTAGGCCCCAGAAAAAGCGGGTGTACTACAGTATTCACAGGTCAAACACATGGCTTTCTCTGACAACCTGAAGTATAAAGTGGGAACAGAGTTTCTCTGCAGAGAACCATCACCTCCTTCATGCAAAATTGGCCACAAGGTTGCACCAGAGAACAAGGAAAGGACAGCTTTGAGCTTTGCCCATCTTGCTCTTTATTATT